GAAACTTTGTGTCCGAAGAGTAGTAGAAATGCCTTTCCTTACTGCTTCTTGCAGTAAGGGAAGGCACTTCTGGCTTTGGGCCCTGTCACAACAGCTTAAAGCCGCTGCTTAGCACTTCTAGTACAATCAGTACTTTTTCCTAAGCAGTGCCTAGTCTCCAGCGTTCAATGTTGAGTTGCACTCTTTCCACGGACAGGCGCGGAAGGTCCCTTGTTACCATGAGGCGCCGTCGAGATTCAGCCCGACGTAGTGCATTCTCTAGCATAAAGTGCCATTCTACTGTGACTCCGTCACATTTCCCTAAGTTTTCAGGTTCGCTCTCGCTGTTAAGCGCCGTGCTTTTCTGGTGCCAGATGACGTCGGACTTTGTACTTACAACAGGCTAATTGCTAGCCTCTATCATCACGGCCCTTTATGTTGTTCCACTTCCATAGTAGCTTCTGATAGCTTTCTAAGCGGCCTCGACTGCAATGATATCCTTTTCTCGTCACCTTTTAACTGACATTCTGCCGATGCGTGCCAGGGCCCCTGTTGCTTCCTCTCAAAGTGATATCTTTAACACCTCTCCCTTCATAAGTGACATACCTTACTCCCTGTACAGTTTTGCATTGCAAAAGCATGCGCTGTGTAGCCCAAGCACACTCGGCCTCTATTGCTCTCAGTACATCCTCACATCGGTGGGAGAGACCTCCACAAAAGTTCAGAGAGTCATTTTGATGCTCCCATTCTAGCTTTTCAAAAAACCTGAAGCTCCACAGCTGATTTCTTCCACTTCGTTATTCCCCTCAGAAGCTTCACATTGGCGGCTAATTGCTGAATGTACTTCATACAGCTAGCTGCTTTGTGTTCATTCTTCGCTACCTTTGATGAAATTTTCATCACTATGCAGTGGGCAGCACCTTAACACTGGGTTACTGTTGTCTTGCCAAGTGGATAACAGAGCTTTCTCCGAGTGGTCGCCTTGAGGAGATCCAGGCGAGGTCATCCCCAACATTCTAATAGCCCGTACGTTATGAAAGCACGTATACGTCTTCGAAAATTGGCACTCCCTCGCTGTCCCGAGATGGGCTTAGTTTAAGCCGCTATGTGTAGCTGTAATGGGTGGTGTGCAGCAATTCACAACATATCAGCATATTTCTCACTGGTAGCTCACCAAAGGCAATGTAGCCAATCTAGCACTTAAGCCAATCATTATTGTCAGGCCACCTAGCACCATCCCTGGTGTAGTGAACAGATGTAGTGGCCGGCGTCCACACTGTTACTACGTATGACCTTGAGCGAGTCCGACTAGGATGGACGCTCTGTACTGACTGTCAACAACAACAACATCAAAATAACCTCGTACAATTGAGTTCGTATTATTATAAGGCACAGGAAAACCCAGAATAATAGAACTGAGTGACGACCCTTGCTGAGGGTCAGTGCCCGAGTCGCGGCACCGGCCTCGCGCCCAGCCCCTTGCCCGGTGCGGGCCAGCTGGCGCATTGCTCCCGTTTATGATTTTCCGCTATCCAGCGGTGCCTTATGCCTTAAGATATTCAATATTATTCATGCCTTTCGCGTTAATAAGCCTCGAGGGGTGACGACGAAGGTCAATTGTAGTGCCAGGCACTACACCTGGCCACCTGCGCTAACGTGCGCGCAGTATAGAAACGCCTGGGCTTTTCAAGGAAATAAAAACTGAATTGTTCTGGGATTTGTCAGCAAAGCGTAATCTCAAGGCACGAACAGATTCCTACCGGACACAGGCATGGTGGAAGCCCGATCCTGCTGCGGAGCACAAAGGATTTTGCTATCCTCAGACCTTGGTAGCTTTACACGTAGCCTGCCAAATCTCTGCGTTGAGTGCTTTAGTGCCAGCTCAAACGACATTTCGGGCTCAATTTCATGCACTGTTGTTGCTCTCAATACGAAACACCGTGTTTCCTACTTTAACTGGCTACTATATATTTTAGAGAGAGACAATCACAGGGATTCACGCAGGTAAGGTTTGGATTAGCAACGAAGTTTGCTTAATTTAGAAATTTGTGTTCGTGTTGCCATCTGTTTTTTCAACATTAACTTCCTACGCATCTAGTTTTTTATTTTTCTTTTCTGCCGTGCTTTTGCAGCGTCCGCCGCCGGCGTTGCTTTAGTGTTTGCTGCGTCAGCTGTATCTGCATTTGTGGGCTTACTGTCTGTTGCCAGGTACTTCTTGCTGCAAATGCTGCTTTGTGCCTCTTAGTGAGTGTTGCAGTTCTTGCTTCCCCAAAATGGTGGCAGTTAATTGTCTCTGCAGATCGCGTCACTCTCGCTAGCGCCGGGGTTCACGAAGTATCATTGTTCGTCCACTGTGAGCGAGCACTTCGTTTTAAGACCATCATCAGTGCAGGCATTCTAAATTAATTTTATAGTTACAGTTCCTTATTGTGCACTTACCAAACGCTGTTTCTGCTCATTTGCCTGCCTCTTCGATTCCCCCTAGCTTGATCCAGGTCCACCTTCTATTTAGGACAAGTTGCTTTCAAATTACTAGCGCGATGTCTGTGCACATCGAGTCCATAAGGGCTTCTCTCGCCAAATTCCAATGTTTTGAATGTCTGTGGACTACTTTTTGGCGTGATACGGCTGCGTGGCAACAGCATACATCTAGTAGCCAACCTGGGTATAGCCCCTGTAGAAGTGCCTTGCTGTCTACACGGGCAAACATTGAAGGTTTAGCATCAGGAGCATGTAACAAGTCTTTAGGTTACC